TAGGGGGGTCTGAGCAGTATATTGGGAAGGTCTGTGCTGTATATTGGGGGGTCTATGCTGTATATTGAGGGGGTCTGCAGAGTATATGGGGGGTCTGCGCAGTATATTGGGGGGTGTCTGCGCAGTATATTAGGGGGTCTGTGCTGTATATTGGGGGTCTGTGCTGTATATTTGGGGTCTGCAGTATATGGGGGCTCTGTGTTGTATATTGGGGGGGTCTGTGCTGTATATTGGGGGTCTGCGCTGTATATTGGGGGTCTGCTCAGTATATTGGGGGGATCTGTGCTGTATATTGGGGGGGTCTGTGCTGTATATTAGGGGGTCTGTGCAGTATATTGGGGGGGTCTGCGCAGTATATGGGGTCTGCGCAGTATATGGGGTCTGTGCTGTATATTGGGGGTCTGTGCTGTATATTGGGGTGTCTGTGAAGTATATGGGGACTGTCTGAGCAGTATATGGGGGGGTCTGCTCAGTATATTGGGGGGTCTGCTCAGTATATTGGGGGGGTTGCTCACAAAACAAAGCATAACTTGACCTTCTTAATATACATATGGTGTGTGCATATGGGGTGATGTGTCTAAGGTGTGGTATGTGTTGGCCCTTTCAGGGTAATGTTCGAGGAATGGAGGTGGGTAAAAGCGGGTGCTAGGGGAGGGTGGAAGCTAATTTAGCCATAGTTGTGTACATGTTAGCTACGATTTGGGATTTATTTTGGCTTTGTTGGCGTAGCCCGCTTCTGTGTGCCTGTTTTGTCCTAGTCTCTGTGCCGAGTCATGTCCCCAGTGGGCAGGTTCAGCTTCTGGAAGAACGCCGCTCGGTCATCTGCAGAGGTCAGGGTGTGTATCTGGTCCCGTCTTTGGACCTGCAGTGAGCCGACAGCCCCCCATCGGTAACGGATTGTTGCCTCCCGGAGCTGTTTAGTAATGGGCGCAAGATGCCTCCACACCACCAGTGCTGCAAAAGGGATGTCTCCATAAATAGCCACTGTATGTCCCTCAAATTGGATATTGTTTAAGTCTCTGGAGCGTGATAAAATAATGTTACGAACTGCCACGTCCCTAGTCACGACTATAATGTCCCTTGGAGCGTCGTCTGGGGCAGCTGCAGCCTTCCGGATTTGGAATGCAGAGAGTACTGTCCCTGGGTCTGTGCTGCCTTTGATGCCCATTGTGGTAAGTAGCCTCTGTATATGTGGCAGCAGGTCATCCCTGCCGATGCGTTCCGGGATGGCTCGAAGGCGGACATTCCTTTTCCTATGCCTTGCTTCCAGTGACGTAATGGTCCGGTTCAACCATTGGACCTTTTGGAAGATTTCCATCATTTGGGCTTGGGTGGTTTGCTGGGTATGTTCCATGTCGTCTTCTCTGGCTTCCAGTGCAGTGATTCTTTGCTGGAGGACCCCATTCTCCTTGCGAGTTTCACGGAGGTCGGCCTTCCAAACCTCCCTCATTTCCGTCAGGAGGTCTCTGATGTCCCTCTTCGTAACTGGGGACGAGTCCTCCTTTGACTGCGAGTCCCCGGTCATCGTGGGAGCGCACTGAGGCCTCTTCCTCGCTGTGGCGGAACCAGCCTCGCCACAGGGCATTGGAGAAGACTGATTACCAGCCTCCTGCCATGTGACTATGGCCCCTGGGATGTATTGCCTGCCCTCCTGTACTGCTGAGGGTTGCTACCAACTAGGTGGATTTGGCTATGGAGCTTGTGTAGTGCCCTCTGTTGGTAGCAACAGTAATATGCACTACCTGAATAGCAAGACTGGTAATTTGCATATTCGGGTAGATTTGCATATCGCTAATTCTGCATGCAGGAGAGACATTTTGTGTTAATTATGGTCTTCCCCACCCATTTATAAATATGTAATTATGTTATAATAAGTCACTGTATGTTGCCTGCTATGATTTGATTGTTTGTAATTTTATTGAGTTTTCACAGCAATGTTAATGTAATGACCATATGGGCTAGTCCAAAGTAAAATAAAGTTTTAGACAGTTCTACTTCACCCTCAATTTGGAGTCCTGTCTCTTATTAGGGGGGAATCTCCTACAAGGGATTGCTGTGCTCTGCGTATTCCCTTGCTATAATCACTCCTAAACTCTTTTAAGAGCTTGTTCCTGCTTTGCTCGGAAGGAAGAGAGGTTCTGCCTGCGGTGGTTGTGTTGTCGACTAGAGTGCTTGGAGCCCGCAAGAAGCACTAGGAGCATCCATCAACGGAGGTACCCAGTCGGGGTGCCAGGTGATCCGTTACACTCGCTTAGCGCCTCCGGTGCCATTTTGGTCTGAGCCAGCGGTGCAGGCCTTTCAAACGAGAGCCGAATGTCAGCTAATTTAGAAGTCTCTGGTAGGCGGAATTTTTTATTCTAGCGCTCCGGGGGGTGGGGAGGTAGTGTGGTTTTGGTCTCTGATAGGGAGCCGAATCGCTCTTTTAGGTCGTGTTTGTCCCAAGATTGGAATGGAGCTCCACATGCACACATCTGGTCTGTGAGCTGATCGGCCACGCCCCCCATGTTCAGTCTTTTTTAGTAGCCACTTAGTCACAAACAGTAGTCAAAGTTAGCGTTCATAATTGATTTTTGCATTTTTAACACCCAAACAAATATAAATGCTAACTTTGGCTAGTGTTTGTGACTAAGTGGCTACTAAAAAAGACTGGACATACCCATATTAAATACCCTGGGTTGTTTACTTTTCAAAAATATATGGTTTGATGGGGGTAAATTACATTGGCCGGCTTCAAAAATGTCCCAAATAGGACATGGGTGCATGATGACTAGCTGTGAAAATTCCAAGTTGGAAAACTGGAATGCGCACCCTCCAAAGTTCCCAGAGAACCCGACACAGCTATACATGGGGGGTATCACTGTACTCAGGAGATGTTGCTGAACACATATTGGGGTGTTGTTTGGCAGTAACACTTAACCCCTTAAGGACACAACTTCAGAAATAAAAGGGAATCATGACAGAATATTTCTGTCGTGTCCTTAAGGGGTTAAAGTTCTCAGTACATGTATTCTTAAATTGCTGTGTGTGTTGAAAAAATCACCAACTTTTTTTTATTTTTAAATTTGGTGTAGATTGGTGTTAAAATGGTTTCATGAAAAGAGTCAAAATACCCCAAGTTTAATACCTTAGGTTGTCTTCTTTTAAAAAATATATACATGTGATGGGTTATTCAGGGATTCCTGACAGATATCAGTGTTACAATGTACCGGTAACTTGCCTTAATGTTGCAAAAAATGGTTTGGAAATAGCAAAGTGCTATTTGTACTTATATCCCTATAACTTTCCCAATATAAAAAAAGCTAAGAACATGTTAACATTGGGTATTTCTAAACTTAGGACAAAATTTTTAAACTATTTAGCATGGGTGTTTTTTGGCGGTTGTAGATGCGTAACAGATTTTTGGGGTCAAAGTTCGAAAAAGTGTGTTTTTAAAAAAAAAATTTGTATAATATTTTATAATTTTTTTTATAGTAATTTATATATGATATGATGAAAATAATGGTATCTTTAGAAAGACAATTTAATGGCGAGAAAAACAGTATATAATATGTGTGGGTACAGTAAATGAGTAAGAGGAAAATTACAGCTAAACAAAAACACAGCAGAAATGTAAAAATAGCCCTGGTCCCAAACGGTAAGAAAATTGAAAAGCGGTCTGGTCACTAAGGGGTTAAACATCAAAATTAAATATAAACACACAATTAAAAAACAAACACTACACATAAATGTATGCTTGCATTCAAATACCAACACTACATACAAACACACAAACAGACTCCATACAAAAACATGCTTACATTCAAACACACAAAGTCTGCTCGGCGCTAAATACAACCTTGCAAGCGTGGGAAAATGGTAGAGCCCCAGCTGTCAAAGCATTGTTGGAGTTGCATGACAAATGGGGATCTACCTTTCAGCCACCCTTGCAATGGCGGGGCCTAGAATAAGTCTTGAACCAGGGCCTTCCCTACTTTAGTTCTGCTGTGTCAGGGAGTGGGGGGGTGGGGAGGATCCAGGGGGCCCAAGAAAATGCTTGCCCAGGGTCCAACCATTATTAAAGACGGCCCTCCTGGACATGACGTAACCATCTTCCAGTGATTAAGAATCCTGGACAGCCCAGATAGAGAGAGACTATTATATTATAAAGATACTGCCTTCCTAATGCCATACAGCCTTTATGTACAGGTGATTGAACTTTCTCCATGTTGGATATGACACTCTGCTTTTTTTAGCCAGGTTCCGCGTTGACTTTTATATTTTTTTCACTATCCATATAAAGTGTAAACTGCATATTAACTTTGAAGAAATAAAGTATATTTGCTGACACCTTGACATGCTATTTGTGTTACTTAGCTATAAATAATAACAGCACTTGCTGTGTCCCATTGTATGACATAACTGCAATTCTACAGCAGGGTGATGAGATGGTGGATTTCAGAGGAGAAAACACAAAACAACAAAGACGTCAGGTTCTATTGTTGAACACAGATTGGAGTGCCTTTTTGGCGTTATAGATGTTTTGGGAACCTATATAAATTTAGAAATGGGGTAAAGACTCTTTGTTTTAAAGGAAACCTATGGTGCTAGGAATATCAAACTGTATTTCTAACACTAGTGCCCTCTTCACCCTTTTTGTCTGTTACCTGATTGTTAGGTCAGGCTCCGCCAACATCAGGTCCCTCCTGCGCACAAATTTGGGCTTCCACATTGGAAAGCATTAACTCAAGGCTTTTCTATAGCGTTTTTAAAGACACTGGTTGTCCTCATGCAAAGCGTGAGGATGTCTAGTGTCATTTCACGTAGTTGGTCTCCGCTAAGGACCTGAAGCGCTTCTAGTGCCTGTCTGGTAGACAGCCAATAGAGGATGAGATAACCTTGCAAGGTAATTATTGCAGTTCCTCAGAAACTGCAATATTTAACATTGCAGGGTTAAGGGGACATAGGCACTGCACCCAAACCACTTCAACGAGATGAAGTGGTCTTGGTGCCTATAGTGTCCCTTTATATATATTCTTTATTTTTGGAGTGCAGTGAAAACAAACATTGCGTAACATTGACATAGATTTAAGTTGCATTATGAATGGTTACAGGCTTCAAGTATAAACTCAGTATGTCATGAGTAGCTGCACACATTCTTTGGTTTAAAACGTAAAACAAGAATTAGTCGCAGCGCAAGCGTATACAGACATGCATTTTATACCTTGTCGAGATGGCCAACCGTTTAGCATCACTAAGATCGGGTCTAAGACATGGTTTGCTAGGAGCTTGCGTTGTTACAGGTTATTATAATAGGCTAGTGAAACCTTAGAAAGGTACAAACTGTTATTGCCACTGGGAGACTAGGCCCTGTTGCAGAGAGTAGTGGGGTGCTTTTCACAGAATAGAATACTTTAAAACAAATTAGCATGGTGTAGCTAACCGAGGCTCACTGGTCTAGCTGAGTTAAAGGGCACAATATCCTGAAGGTGTCTAACTTTTTGCAGCCACATTATGATTTAATACTAATGGCACCAGGCCACCATTCCATCCTGTCAAGTGGCTAGTGGGAGTAAAAGATTTGAGGACAGAGCTGCTACTTTGCAGTGGGAAGTTACATGGTCACCTCGGGGGCCTGTGGTCAGTTCATCATGGGTGCTGGATCTTACCTGTGTAGTTCCCATAGTATGCAGGTGTAGTTCGACGGGACACTCAGGCTGGACATCCATGTGAGTCTCTACTCGGGTGGTGTCCTCCGTGTGCCTCTCCAGCCACTGCTGCATGCCGGCTGTCAGGTGTTCATCGCGGCTCTTTCATGGCATGCTGGGGAAGGATGTCCGGCTTTGCGCCAGAGGTGTGCGGCTCGTTACAGTGGAGACCAGTCGGCTGAAAGGTAGGGTTTCTCAGTCGCTTGCCTGTTCCATGGGGTGAGTGTTGTCTCGTTGTGCTTATAGTGTCCCTTTAAAGAGCAACTTCTTACTCTGCTTATTGCTATCTTTTGAAAGTCATCACAGTTATAAGCAAAACTTTCCATAGGCACAGTGACAAGAGGACCTATGTGCACCATAAATTATCATAGTTATAAGCCATATTTCCTAACAGTCCTGGATTGTTTGATAGAGTACCAGTTTGGGGTTGCTCTTCATTGTCCCACAATAATTAGCAGGCTAACGTTGATTACAGATACACATTTCACCGCACATTTGATAATTGTTTGGAGTTTTAATATTTTTTTTTAAGGCAGCAGTAAACAAAAAGTCTAACAGTATTTGTTAATTTCTAATGTAACAAAAAAGTATGTTGTACATTAATTACATACATAATAATTGCACGTGGCCTATTACCAGATATTGTTAGCCGCTCTTTACTCTTAAGAGGCCTCTTGGGTGATGCTGTGATGAGATCGTCCTTTAGTACAGCCTTCTGTATCCAATGGTCTCTTATGCAGGGAGTCCTCAACACGCCCACAAATTAAGAGCAAACAGGAACAACTTTATTTTAAGTATTTTTCCTACTTTTGACAAAAGACAGAGCTAATGCATGCACTTGAGTAGAGCGCTTCCGTTGGCTCCTGGCAAATTAACGCTCCAGGAGCTGAAGAGGACGTTGAGAAAGAAGATGCATACATTTTAAGTCAAGTAAAAACTACCTTTACCTGCCCTTCATGGCCACTGGAATACAAGTGGAACAGTGGCCATCTGGGGTCTTTGCACAACATTCAAAATACATAAATAAAATTTCATAAAAATATTAAGTGCTTTAGGGTTCGGTCATAATCTCAGAATTGGGTCTAATGCAACAGAGGGTTCCATTTCATGAACCTGTTGAATTCCTGCTGAGCCGCCAGTCATAGATGATGCACAACTAACCTCTTGTTAAACAGAACGATGGTCTCCATTCCATACTGGGACACCAGATCTAAAATACAGAAAATGCACTTAGTGTGTAATGCTTTAAACTACCTCCCTCATCAAACTGAAACTTGATCTGGAATTGAAAAAACAGTCTAACATATAATGATTTAAACCTGATCAAACTGGGGCACTATATCTGGAACACTTTATTACCCCGATTAAAGTGGCATGGAGTATATAACCCTTGATTTCACCTTTGATGGATCCCGATAAGTATAAGCAGTTTATATGATACAGTCACAGTGTAAGCAGTGTTTCAGAGATACGGTCACAGTATAAGCAGTGTTTAGATTGTACGGTCACAGTGTAAGCAGTGTTTAGGAGATATGGTCACAGTATAAGCAGTGTTTAGGTGATACATGCGTTTAATTCTCCATAGTCACAGTATTTATGGTTACCTCATAAGTATTACAGCCACTACAGTAACACCACGTCAAGGCTTCAACCCTTGTTACTGACCATTCACACACACCATACATTCGATATTCCAGATGTTTTGCACTACACCTTCCATAATGCTTTGCCAACATTATGGGAGGTGTAATTCACAGCATCTGGACTGCCCAAGGTTACCTACCTCTGAACTAGGCTGTGATCACAGTACACAATGTTGAAGTCGCTGTGCAAACAGGAGCAGCTTGTCACGTGCCAGATGCCACTTCAGTACTTATAAATTCAATACTCCACCCTGGAGATGAGCCTCAAACATGGGCTTCTTCATTCCTCTTCATGTACTTCGTGTCCCATAGGAGAACATGCTTGTCAGAGTTGTGACACACACAAAAAAACTAAAAAAAAAACTGGTTAGAGGAAATGGCATAACAGACACAGTGCATGCGTGCCACATACATACAGCAGACAGACACAAAGATTGTGGGAGACACACCGCATTAAATATAAGAATTGGGAGTACTATACATACAGAATGGACAAAGAGACAGAGATTACAGAATTTGGTGACCGACGGATTTTGTTGCAGATGTGGGGCCTTCCCTCTGGCTGGGGTGCAGTTTCTCATCCATCTCTGGTGAGTGACTAGATGGCTGCGGTTTCATAGCAAAAAGCATGCCATGGCATATGATATCTATGAAATAAATATTTTTTTGTGAAACTCGGGTTGTACACATCTAACACACAGGCCACACATACTGCACAGCTCCCCATCTAACTCACATCCCCCAAATATAATACACTGTCCCCCCACATCTAACGCACAGCCCCCTCACATCTAACGCACAGCCCCCCATCTAATACACTGCCCTCCACATCTAACACACAGGCCACCCCAATATACTTCACAGACCCCCCAATATACTGCGCAGACACCCCCCATATACTGCGCAGACACCCCCCATATACTGCGCAGACACTCCCCATATACTGCGCAGACACCGCCCAATATACTGAGCAGACAGCCCCCCAAATTACTGCACAGACCCACCCAATATACTGCGCAGACCCACCCAATATACTGATCAGATCCCCTAATATTCTGAGCAGACCCCCACAATATACTGAGCAGACCCCCCAATATACTGCGCAGACACTCCCAATATACTGAGCAGACAGCCCCCCATATACTGCACAGACACCCCAATATACTGCACAGACCCCCAATATACTGCACAGACAGCCCCCATATACAGCACAGATGCCAGAGCCCCATATACAGCACAGACCCCCAATATACTGCACAGACCATATACAGCAGCCCCTATAGCCAGATATACCACCGAGAGCAGACCCCCATTTACAGCACAGACAGCCCCCAATATACAGCACAGAGCCCCAATATAGTGCACAATATACTGACAGCCCGACCCCCAATATACAGCACAGACCCCCAATATACAGCACAGACCCCCAATACACAGCACAGACCCCCAATATACTGCACAGCCCCCCATATAGAGACCCCCATATACAGCACAGAGCCCCCAATATACTGCACAGACAGCCCCCCAGCACAGATATACTGTGCAGAGAGCCCCCCATATACAGCACAGACCCCCAATATACTGCACAGTATACAGACAGACCCCAATATACCCCCAATATAGACCCCCATACACAGCAAAGACCCTCAATATATTGCACAGACAGCCCCCCCATATACTGCCAGACCCCATAGCACAGACCCCCAAAATACTGCAGAGAGCCCCCATATACTGAGCAGACCCCCCAATATACAGCACAGAGCCCCCAATATACAGCACAAACCCCCCAACATATTGCGCAGACCCCCCCATATACTCTGCAGACCCCACATAGCTGAGAGTGTTGGGAGCAGGGAGAGACTGACCTGGTAGATGACAGGATTCTCCAGATAATCAGACACAGCGCATGTGCACTGAGGGGTAGGGAGATTTAACAGTGAAAGTGTCCATCAGATCTCCCAACCCCCACACTGCGCACGCGCGGTGTCCATATGTCAGGCTGTGATAGCTGGGCCGGCACGTGGGGCAAGGAGATCGGATGGATGTTCGGTATAAGAGACCTGCCCGCTTGTGCGCACGCACGGTGTATCCTGCCGATGGGAGTAGTTAGCCACGCGTGCGCACTGGCCCGTAATTTTTCCCTACCCTGTAACCCCTCCTGAGGCTCCCTGCGCATCTGCAGTGACGGCCGGCGGCCAGCTGGCAGGTATGGCGCATGCGCAATATGTACCCCTTTCTCCCCAGCGCTTGCTGTGAAATTTCCCTACCCTGTGGTTGTGCGCCTGCGCTGTGCGGCACACCTCCTCCTCCATTGGCAAACGTCACTTCCGGTGCGGCCGCGTCACTGGACGTGACAAGGGTAGGGAAATCTAATGGGGTAGGCCCTGCCAAGTAGTCTGTAGTAGGTCAGAATGATTTTTCAGACAATATAATCAAATGACATTGTAGCTGGAGTTAGGGGGAAGACAGGTCTAATGCATCACTTTTTAAAAGTGGTCAGACGAATAGCGAGGTCAAGAATGGAGTCAGATGAGCTAAGAAGCAATCCAAAATTCAAGATATTACGCTTTGGAGCCTCATCCTAAGAAAGCCATGGATTGGCTGTTAAAATTACAATTGACATATAATAAATAAATTTAAAAAAAACACATTTAAAAAAGATTAATAAGCTTATTTATTTTTACTTAAAATTTTGTTTAAAATGTAACTTTTCTCTGGCCAATATACTGAGTTGTCTCCGTTATGGTGAAAGACATCCTCACTACTATGACTGCACCTAGAATGCTTCTCATTAGATTTGTTCTCATGCCTGTGAAATTGATACAGTATCAGCAGCAAAAGTTTTTAAAGGGTTTGGTTTTCCTGACACTATAGTACCCTGAGGGTGCCCCCACCCTCAGGGTCCTCCTCCCGCGGCGCTTAAGGGGTTAAAACCCCTTCAGCCACTCACCCTTTGTAGTTGTTCTGGTGTATATAGCCTGTCCCTGCAGGCTTTTCAGTGTAATCACAGCATTTTCTGCAAAAAGGCATTGTTTACATTGCTGCTTAGTAACACCTCAAGTGACAGTCACTCGGACGGCCACTAGAGAGTCCTGAGTCACAGCTGCACCACGTGCAGCACCCAGGTTCAGTGTCTACAAGCTCTGTATGGAGGTGCTGAATGTTCCTCATAGAGATTCATTAATTTAATGCATCTCTATGAGGAGATGAAGATTGGTACATTTGCTGTGCATGCACAAAATCCTCCCAATGTTTTCCCAAGGGAAAGTATTGGCTTAGTTGAGGTCATAAAGATTGAGGGTACTAGCCATGGTGAAACTGGCACGGCGTCAGAAAATGGGGGTGAAAGGATGAGTAAAAAACACCTTCCTCATGCAATCGGAGGGGGCAGATACCTAAACGCATACACACACACACTCTTGATAGGAACTCTCACACACACACAACCACTCTTGACAGGCTCACACACACACAAACACACTCTCTCTGACAGGCTTTCGCACACACTCACTCTCTGACAGGCTCACACACACACACTCTACAACAGGCTCACACACACACACCCCAAGACAGGCACACACACACACTCTCTCTCTCTGACAGGCTCGCTCACACACACGCACACTCTTGACAGGCTCACACACACTCTTACGCTGACAACAGGCTTGCATGCACACACTCTGACAGACACACTCACTCTGACAGGCTCTCTCATACACTGACAGAGTATCACAGGCACACACACACACACTCACTTTGACAAGCTCACACACACTTAAATTTTTGTTTTAATTGAAACCCACTCAGCCTCCCTACCTTTGGGAGAGCTGAGTCAGTCTTTCCTGTGGTCCAGTGGGGCTGCTCTCCTCCTGTGTGCGAAGGAGCAGTACTCTGCCTGTAGCTCCTATCTGCTCCCTCGCGCTCTGTAATGATGCCGGGGCCGGAATGACGTCATATTCCAGCTCCCGATATCATTAGACAGCGAGAGGGAGCAGAGAGGAGCTACAGGCAGAGTACTGCTCCCTCGCGCGCCGCCCACAATGCTCCTCAGGGCAGCCAGACAGCCGCCTCCATGCTGCCTTTGCCAGCCGCCTTTAATGTTCCATGTGACGGCTGCCGTCAAAGTTCCCTCGGCGGCCACATTAATTAGAGAGCTGGCAAAATCCAGGAGCCAGGGCGAAATTTCTATTTGCCATGGCGACCAGGCGCCTGGGATTTGTCAAGCCTTGGCCCACACCAACAGCATTAGAGCCCTTCCATTCTGATGTTCCACAACACTTCCAAAGGTTTTAGTACTTGCAGATTAAATGAACACTTACAAGGTTATTCATTAAAGTGAGAAATTAATGGAATTTAAAGTGAAGATCAGACCAAAGTAGCCAAACTGCAAACATTCTCCAAGTCAATTCTGTTTTCAGTTCAGCTGTTTGGGCTTTAAATTTGAAATTCACTTTGATTTGCCAGCAATTTTCATTTTATTGAATAATCCTGTATGTGTTCACTACGTTTTGTATTCAATAAAAATCAATAAAAGGTGCCCTTAGGAAAGTGACACCGGGCGGCTGGGCCTCTGGGGAGTGGCGATCAGGGCCAGTCATAACCTCCTCTCCTAACCAGCCCTCCTCCTTATTCTGTCCCACCTCTCCCCCCTTTTGATGCACTTTTCTCCCTGCTCTTCTATGCACATCTTCTTCTCCCTTGCCATGCCACCCAAGCTCTATAATTGGCCTCCTCCAATGACCTTTTGAGCCAGATCAGATAGAATCCATAACCACGGATTCATCAGTGCCACGTGCCCACCGGACTTTACGATATTGCCTACGACCTTCTCAATGGACCCAGGGGTAGGGTGTGGGGAGGGTGATCTGGAGAGCAGGATGGATGGGGGAGAGGTTGCTGGATGATTGGGAGGTGGGATGCGGTGGAGCAACTCTACATAACTTAAAGATGCAAAACGGGATGACTGTGTGTTACGCCTTGTCAGATAGTTTAAATTGTTTGCTTATAAACCAAGCCTACTGTCTTATGTCTATCTGATACCTATATACTAACTCAGAGTTTCATCTACATATACATTGTTAATGACGGACTGTTAATTGTTAATAATTGCGGATGTTACAGACTGCTCTCCCTAGGTTGGGAAAAACAATCTACTTTGTGAACTTAGTTAACACAAAATCAATAAAAGTGAATTGAAGAAAAAAAATCTGAATGATTTTTTGGGATAAAGCTTTATCAAATGCATTCTTGTGTCTCACTCTCAAGAAGGTTTTGAGACACAATTATATATGGCAGTGACAGACAACAGTCAACAACTCAATTAGTTATTAAATTTTAGAATAATAGAATGTAATATGATTCACGGTTCATCAGTTAAAGCCAGACGGGATTTCCACATAGGCTGATTTGCAAACTTTTCAGTTTCAATTCTTTTGCACAATTGTCTACCCATCCCATACTGTCATCACTAGTATTTTAAAGTGGTCAGTCAGTTTATGATAGGTTTCCATAACATCTCAAAAGGTGTCTTATGATTTTATTTTTAGAAACAGAAATTCTATATATGGCCATTGATCTCCAGCTGGTTTTATTAGTTTAGCAAGCACAAAAAATTGCCATAAATGCGCATGTGACGGTGAATCAAACATGAATGTAACAGGAAGCAGTGCTGTTTTAATGATGTTTTGGAGAGCTTGTTTTATAGAGCTCGCTGATCCAGATGATCCTGTTAAGCAGATAACATTTATTAACAACAGTAACAATAAAAAAATGTGAAAGGGATGGACACCTAATATTTGATCATATTATGAACAATCAAGAAAACAGCGTTGTTTGTATAATCCCTAAACTATTAGTTAGGGAGATAAAAAATTCCGCAACACAACAGGCAAGTCAGTGTTTAAGTGTTAGGTACATTGTAAATGAAATGTTGCTCAAAATAGAGTAAAGATTTATGTTTAACTCACTCAGTCTTGGGAGCGGGGCCTGACTGCAGAGCCAGCTCCTCCGGGAAAACCACTTAAAGTGCCTTTAAATAGGGCTGTTTTGCTCTTTTGGTGGCTAAAATCCTGTACCTACTCCCGGGGAGCACACTGCTATCTATCTGGGTCATCTCAGCCTGAATCCTGTGGACACAGCCCACGTAAAGCTCCTCTGAGACCTGCAGCTACACTCGATGCCGGGGAGGCAGACAATCCTCAGCCTTGATCTGCAGCCTACTAATCCCGAATCCTGTTCCCCCCCTTTGGACTGGTGGGGGATATCCCAGTCCCATACTAGTGGCCACCCCGAGGCAACCTCAAACTACCTGGTGGTTTGGAAGGTAGAGGCTTAACTATGAAAATGGCTGTCCCACTGGGGCCAGCAATCATGGACACCATACCATGCTTGCTTCCACATGTGGATCTGTTCCTCCTAAAATTTGGCCGCACTTGCGAGCGGTTTTGGGCAAAATTCCGAAACAGGAGACCTACCTCCACTTCATCTGGCCTAGCCGCCTCCATCCAGAGCTATCCTGTGAGCTGTCGCCGCCTGCCTCAGCGCTTTCGGTTCCCAGCAAAGCCTGCTTAAATAAAGCATTTGCACATCGGACCACAGGAGGTGCAAGGCTGAGGTGCTGCGACATCTAACCTCACTTACTGCTGTAATTAAAATCACACTAGACTTCATGGCTTACAGGCTCGGTCAGAGAAACCTCTCGGAATTGGCTGACGGGCTGGCAAACCCTACATAAAGCCCTGTAGCTTAATTTCCCTTTGCTTACTGTATGATGCAATTACATGTTTTTAGTGCACTATCTATAGAGCCACACAGGGCTACCATACTTACCCAGTGGTAACTATTTGTTATTATTTCTCACGGCTCTGTTCTATGATTCATGTTCTTTCCTTGTTTTTTCTTCTCATAGAATGGTGCTCTTGCTGTTTTTTCTACTTACTTAAACAAAAAAAAAGTGCAGTCTGTCCTGGACATTTCATGGGACGCTTACCTTACTATGTCTTGTTATTTTGAATATTTCGATGCAATGTCTATGAGAGCTGGTTTGTTACCCTATGCACTGCAAAAATAAAGAATAAAAAATAAAAACTCACTTAGTCTTAATTGTCCTCCCAAAGTATATTTTATACAGGACACATTTTATTTATTTATTTTTAAATTCTTTATTTAAATACAGAAATCTGTATATACTTCTCACCACAACCCCGCTATCCTTGGACAGGTCCACCACCTATGTAAAGTATATATGTCCATGGGCGTTTCCGCAGGAAATGTTCCCGGGGGGTAGCATTATTGTAATGACATCCATGCTCTGCCCCTTTTTGACAGTGTCATGAAGGGGAGGGGTATAGTCATTATCTCATAAAGCGCAGGCATGCAAAAGATTTGAGAAACCTGATGCAAAAGATTAATTAAAAAAAAGAATCAAGTTGCCATTGTCTGATTTAAGTATTGCAATTTCTAATCTGTTGTTAACACTATTTAATGCACCACATTAGTCATTTACACATGATCAAGGCACTATAACTGAATTATAAAAATAAAACTGATTGCACACAAAGCTACCGCCACAGCACTAGGTAGCATGCACAGCAGTTACCACATCACTTGGAGACATTAACAGCACTAGGTATAGCACCAGCATGTGCCCACACTACCAGATTGCACCAGCAACACTATCCACACCTTATAAATGCCACGACTTGTGGACAGCTTCATTGGTCAGAGGAATTTGCCAGTATCCTTTACACAGATTAATAGTGGTCAGATATCGTCCCCTGGCAATGCGGTCTAATAGTTCATCCAATCTTGGCATCGGATACGCATCAGTCACTAATTTGTCATTAAGGCGCTGGTAGTCCACACAAATGCAGGTCTTTCCATCCCGCTTCAGTACTAGTACTACCGGTGATGCCCAGGGGCTCTCGGAAGGCTCTATTACACCTAGCTTCAACATCTCCTGAATCTCTACTCGCATCCCTTCCCGGACTGCCTCAGGGATGCGATAAGGGGGTTGCCTAAGTGAGGCCTGTCCTGGGGTCTCTACCTTGTGGACTGCCAACTGAGTGTACCTGTAACTGAATTTTGGAAAAAGTCTCCCTTTTTGTGGCTACTAGCTGTGTAGCTTGTTTTTTCTCCTGGGTGTCACAAAGTTACCTTTACCCGGCGTCCGCGCCGCTCCTCTCCTCCGGCTACACGGGTAGAACGCACCGAATGGCCACATAGCCTCAGTCCTCAGGCCATGCGGGCCGAATGCTCCATGTGGCTACGCGGCCTGACATATAATACTTACCTTGAGCCCCGCGAATGACTCCCTCTGCCTGTTCGCTGGATGAACTGCAAACCCTAAAAATAAAAGAAATAGCAATGACGTCATTACCTTAAAGGGACCACGTCATCTAGGTGACCCAATGCTGTTTGGGCTCACAGAGATAATGTGGACCAATGAGAACTCTTTTGAGCCTGTTTAAGGCTTTTTAAAGCCTCCATTCTTTGCCCTATCGTGGTTTCTGTTTATATCCTCGTTTAGTGCTCTTGGTGATTCCCTTGTAATTTCCTGTGTTTGACCTCAGTTTCATATTTGACTTCTGATTTCTGGTATCCTGACCCTGGCTTCGTATTTGATGTCTGATTTCTGGTATCCTGACCCCAGCTTTGTATTTCACTTGTAAAAACAAAATCAAAAGTTACCTGAGCTCTCTCCTAAATCCCTATGTATATTTAAACAAATGGAGGTAGTTTAGTTACTCCAGTGACCATTGGAAGGGAGGACCCATCTAGGGGGGGTCTGCCTTGACGTTGGCAGGTGGGCATTCCTTCCAATTGCCATTGGAATAACTAAATGACCTCCATTTGTTGAAATATACATAGGGATTTAGGAGAGAGCTCAGGTAACTTTTTCTTTTGTTTTTACAAGTTCTTGGTTTTAACAGTTTAGCAGAGTTTATTTTAAAAAAAGAAAGAAAAAGAAACAAAAACAAATCCCATCCCCCAAAAAAACACAGTTTAGCAAAAATGTCTATGAAACCTCTTTTGAGATTAAATCACAAACTTGGGAAGTGCTTCCTCCTAGGACTCTCATAAGAGCAGACATTAGGCTGTTAGAGGGCTGTTAGAGTTGTACCTGCCAAAGATGGGCTACATTAACGTTGTGGCAGGCTTATGCAATGCATGATCACATACTGCAGGGGCAGGCTGGTACGGGGGGCATGGAGGCGATTCCCCCCAGGTCGCCCATATTCCAGGGCCGCGTGGGCCGCCCACCAGCTGCCTGCAATAATTTTTTTACGATCGTGTTCAATGTTCAGTGCTCACGCTGGGTCGTCCCCGCCATACGGCAATCACTTTGCTCCTCCTCTCCTCCCCTGTGTGTGGCGTGATGTCTCGCACGGAGACGTCACGTTAGGGTCACCATCTTGCTGAGACTGCGCTGGCAGTCTCCACATCCCTCCCATGCATGCAGCCAATGTTTATTTATATGTGTGTATTTGTGTGTGTGTATATGTGCGTGTGTATATGTGCCTGTGTGTTTTATATATGTGAATATATATATGTCTGTGGGTGTATAAATATATATGTGAGTGTTTTTGTTTTGGGAGGAGGGGTTGGAGGGCGTGATTGCATGCCATGTGGGGGGCAGGATCCAATAGGCCCAAGCAAACGCTTGCCCAGGGTCCAATCACCACTAAAGACGGCCCTACTGTCAGTGAGTGTGTGTTTGTTAGTGTGTGTCAAAGCAGCAAGTGTGTGTGCCTGTAATGGAGTGTGTCTGTTTAGGTGACTGTCCCTCCTTTTAATCACATGGGAAAGGTGTTTTTACTCTCCTCTTTTTCCCCACGCCATTCCGGACTCACTGTGGCTGCTCTCGCCTCCATGGCTGAGATCATTACACCCTGTTCCAAATTATTATGCAAATGATATTTTTCTCATTTACCTAAATAATTGATGTAAATAACAGTCAGCATAATTCTCATGTTATCAACTATTAAGAGTACAATCCAAATTTTATTGAACAAACCTCCTAATGATAACAGTATTTTTTTTAAACATAAAAAAACTTACAATGCACTGTTCCAAATTATTCCGCACAGTAAGTTTCAAAACACTTTATAGGTTGTAAAGAACTGAAATTTGTCATTTGTTGTGTTTGCAGCATATTTACTGAAATCAAAAGCTATTTCAATCAAACATATAGCAACATTTTAACTTTTTAAACATTTTAACAGGTCACGTTACATTTTAACATAGGACCCCTTATTTGATAGCAGCTTCACAAGTCTTGCATCCATTGAACTTGTGAGTTTTTGGACAATTTCTGCTTGAATTTGTTTGCAAGATGTCAGAATAGCCTCCCAGAGCTGCTGTTTGGATGTAAACTGCCTCCCACCCTCATAGATCTTTTGCTTGAGGATGCTCCAAAGGTTCTCAATATGATTGAGGTCAGGGGAGGATGGAGGCCACACCATGACTTTCTATCCTTTTATCCCCATAGCAGCCATTGATGCAGAGGTATTCTTTGCAGCATGAGATGGTGCATTGTCATGCATGAAGATGATTTTATTACGGAAAGCATAGTTCTTCCTTCTATACCAGGGAAGAAAGTGGTCAGTCAGAAACTTCACATACTTTGCAGAGGTCATCTTTACACCTTAGGGGACCCTAAAGGGGCCGACCAGCTCTCTTCCCATGATTCTGGCACAAAACATGACTCCACCACCGCCTTTCTGATGTCGCAGCCTTGTTGGAACAGGGTGGCCGTCCACCAACCATCCACTACTCCATCCATCTGGACCATCCAGGGTTGCACGGCACTCATCAGTGAACAGGACTGTTTGAAAATTAATCTTCATGTATTTTTCTGCCCAATGCAGCCGTTTCTGCTTGTGAGCATTGGTTAGTGGTGGCCGAATAGAAGGTTTATACACAGTTGCAAGACTCTGGAGGACTCTACACCTTGATGTCCGTGGGACTCCAGAGGCACCAGCAGCTTCAAATATATGTTTGCTGCTATGTAATGGTATTTTAGCAGCTGCTCTCTTGATCTGGTGCACGGATCTGGCAGAAATCTTTCTCAATGTGCCTTTATCTGCACAAATTCGTCTGTGCTCTGAATCAGCCACAAATCTCTTAATAGTGCAATGATCACGCTTAAGTTTTCGTGAAATATCTAATGTTTTCATACCTTGTCCAAGGCATTGAATTATTTCACTCATTTTGCAGCAGAGAGATCATTTTTATTCCCCATATTGCATGAAAATGGTGCTCTGCTTAATAATGTGGAACACCCTCCTTTAGTAGTTTTTCCTTAAATTGGGCTCACCTGGCAATCTAATTATCACAGGTGTCCGAGATTGTTTTCAGTGATCAAAAGAGCCCTGAGACATAATGCCATCCATGAGTTAAACTGAAAATCAAAATATTTAATCTTTGTGACACTTAAATAGAATTTGCATAATCATTTGGAACATTGTGTAGTCTTGATCTCAGCCAATCCAATGCTTGCCCTTAGGAAAGCAATGGAAGGCTTTTACGCATGTGCGCCAATACACAATACACAGTTTTTTTTAATAATAATATAATTATTTATTTATTTATTTTTCCCAGCAAGTGTGCAAACATTTTCTTTTAAATAAAATAGCATACATTAAATAATAATAATAATAATAAATAAGTGTAATAAATAAATATTATATATATATAAATGCCTAGGTGAGGTGTTTTTA